TGGGAATCGAACCCAGATCCTCTACAAGAATAGTCAGAGCTCTTAACCACTGAGCAATCTCTCCGGCTCCTTAAACTAATATTTTTAAAACATAAAAATTATACATATTGATCCGGGTGTGATGGTGCACACTTTTCATATCTCTAAAGCTCCATTTTTGCATATTCTGTGTAGCTATGGATGACAGGAGCAAGCAGTAACCAAGACACAACCTAACCTGAATGCTATCCTGTTTTGAGATTTCTTCCACCAAACTAGTCTGTTTAGCCTCATTGAACTTTCTCAGGACCCTGGCAGAATGCAGCCAGATTGTTTGCCAGAATAACTTGAATGGCTCTAGCCCAGTTTGATAGAGACCTTGTTCTCCTCAGAAACTTCATGAGCTGAGCTCCACATTGCTCTTGGCATTCTGGTCTTATAAGCCCCTTATGAGAATGGCCCATTTTGCTTTTTACAGCATCTAAGGGCTTTTCTAGTCTATAGCTCCAAACTCTTCCACATTCCTCCCACAAACCAGTTCTAAAAGGCTATAAATCATGCCAGGCCTGGGCATACACTTTTAATCCCAGCACTTGAGAAGTGGAAGTTGGGGGATCTCTGTGAGATCGAGGCCAGCCTGGTCTACATAGTGATTTCCAGGCCACCTGGGACCACAGGAAAACCTTGTTTCAAAACAGAAACGAAAAACCAAAAAAGCCTATGAATCATATGAGCAGGCTTGATCCCACTCCTCACTACTGGTTTTCTACCTGTTTTTTTTTTTTTTTTTAAATTGATGTGAACTAATACTTTACAAGAAAAAATTTAAGGAAGGAAGTGTTCATTTTAACTTATAATTTAAGAAGGAGCATAGTCTATCATAGTGGGGAAGGCAAGGTACCAGGAACATGAATCAGCTGATCACATTACATCTTCAGTCAGGAAGCAGAAAATGGATAGGAAGCAGGACAGGTGATAAAACCTGAGGGCCTTCCTCCAGTGACTCAGCAAGGCTTCCAGCAATGCTCTCCCTAAACAGTGCCAACAGCTGGGACCAAGTACTCAACCACATGAGCCTATGGAGGACATTTCTCATTCAAGCCACAGCAGTATGTGAAAAATTATCTGAATCAATTCAAAAAAATTCTGTCACCATGATGTATCCCACTTGGTTTAGAGTAGTCTCTTTATCTGTAGTTAGTTCTTCCTTGATTCTCTACACCATAATGTTGGCCATGTCTCCATCTGCAGCTGATTTGAACCTGCCTCTACTGCCACTGTGACCATTCCTATCAATGGTACCTCTTCTTCTACCACCTCTTCCCTCCTTCCCCCTACTCCAAATTGCTCTGACTAGACCTTCTAGTACTTCAGTAGTAGTGGTAAAAAATGGGCATTCTAGTCTTAATAGCTCTTTCTTTCTCTCTGGTCCCCCCCCCCCCCCCCCCC